GACTAGTTTCTTGAACTTAGTGATTGTGTCACAGATACGGATAATAATAGGTAACCTGTTCCACAGTAGACTGTATCGTGTTACAGAGAAAATACAACTCAATGGTTTTTTGTTTTGCGTTGTTTCTAAGTCTGTAAGCAGTGTCGTGGTTCATAATTGGGTGGTATTTTACGAACCATTTATTAGTTTATAGAGGAGCATTAGGTTGCTTTTCAGGCGACGGCGCCATAGAGGCTCTAGGGAAAGATGCTTGCATCTTTCTGTGTAGTCGAGGTTATAGCTCAATCCGAGCAGTCGCCAGGTGAAGCATCTTTGTACATTTTCTACTCGCATTTTGTCCATGATATTCATGTTTGAAAAGATGAGTGAACAATATTCAAGTGAGGGCCTTATACAGATTTTGAAGAGTGTAAGCTTAGCCTCGCTTGTCAAGAAGTTCTTGTTTATAAACCCAATTAGCCGTCTGGATTTAGAGATAATATTTGAGATACGTTCTTCAAATTTTAGGCTTCTAGAGTAACTGATACCAAGGTGACGCTTGCTAAAATGCGTTATGCCGCATTTGTTGTAGTTAAACGCTAGTTGCAATGTCTCGCTACAGGTAGATAAGTTATCAAGGTCACTCTGAATCTAAGCTATGTATATCGTCAAGATCATCAGGCTTATAGCTGTATACTATTTTCAGATCATCAGCATATAAGTATGCTCTTCCAAATCTTATAGTATTACATATATCGTTTATGTACATCAGAAACAAGAGTGGACCTAAGACACTTCCCTGGATAACCCCACTGGTTATTAGTCTTGGTGATGAAAGATAGTTGCTGTACTTAACCATTTGTTGTCGCCCATTTTGGAATGAAGCAAACCATGAGTGCAGTGGGTTAATGATTCCGAATGACTTCAGTTTAAGTAGAAGCCTTTTGTGTGAGACTTTATCAAAAGCCTTTTTAAAATGGAAGAAAAGGACTGATACTAGAAGCCCTTTGTCTTGTTTATGATATCGTTGAAATAATCGTACTAGAGTATATTTAGCAGGGAGAACTAAAAAAGAGACGAAGGAGAGAGGAGGTGAGCCGACGACCTAGCGAGTGCATAAACTGCTCTTCATTCAGTAAAAATAGCAATGTGCAGCAATCACCAATCACGCAAGCTTCAGATTTAAATTATCTGGAAGGTGAAAATCGGAGCGGATTGAGTGATGATTATAAATCCTTACAACACAATAACCGAAAACACCATTAGCTATTGAATACTTGGAGAAGGTTAGGGATTGTGAGCGCAGGAACACTTGATTTAGATGCTATGGCTCGGTCATGCAGGCGAGACGACGCGATATAACTTATTGTTCTGCATATTTAATGTGTTATTCTATCCCCAATCCTGATATGTTACTTGGATCTCGTATAAAAATAGATGACGATGTGACTTCCAAGTAAGATCTTATAGACTGGATATTCATATTATGGCAACAACGTGGATGATCCGAGCCGATGGTTGTAGGCATACTGAAGGTAGATGGAGATCGATGAAGTTAACTAACGTACGTAGAATTCATAGCTCCCACGGAAAGTTTAACCCTGATAATGCTGTCGTGATAGTTAAGTGACCGGCAAGAATCAATACTTTTAGTGGATAGTTACGTATATTAGTGCTAAAGGTTAACAAAGTGGTACCACTTCCAGGGCATTACATTTATCAACGTGAATCGATTGTTTTCTAATATTCATGAGTAACAGGAAACCCACTAGACACTCATTTAGTCCCATACGGGATGATCTGCCTAGAACACAGTGATTGTAAGATCCATTTTGGAAGGCTTTGTTTGTTAAAATCTTTCCATGTATATACTTGTAATATGTCCTTCTTGATTCTCTCAGTTCCATTTTGGGATGATAATGTTTGTATTTTATTAAAGTTCCCATTTTTTGTGCCTTTGCTGAGTTTCTATGTTATTTTCCGGACTGCATTAGGTTGTTTAAGCTGATACTTAGTTATGACGACAGCCATATTGATTTTGTTTCTCTGGGGGTTAGAGCGCCTACACTGACTGGAAGTGTGCAATTTGGATTGGAAATTTGAACACTCTTCCAGAATCGGAAACGGGTTGTGTTATAAGAGGGATAGAACATTAATTATTTGAAAACCTGAAGTAATAACGTTTTAATAATATCTAGGTAATGAAGTATATTTATATTTATGATTAGTAATAGACCCGTTACTTACCCAGATCACTTGTTTTGGATTTCAACTGGGCAGGACGCGTATCTAAACTCCCTGAGCAGTTATTCCTAAATCCAAACCTCAGTTTGGATATCACAGTGAGATTACTCTTTCCCTTCAAGTCTACAAATATGTAATTGGAATATTATTTTAGAAGAAAAGATAACTGTACTACTAATGGCTGAGAACAAAATTCTACACGTTCTCTTTTTATCTGCTGTTTCTTCTTTCTGAAAATTTGTTTATATATTTACTTTCAACCTAGTTTATTCAATCCATAATTTAGCTTTTTTCCTCCACTTCTTTAGATTCTCATTCTAAAGTCTTTCAAATTATAGACAACTATTAAGCTATCTTATTACGTGATGGCTGGTATCAATACCATTTCTTTTGAATAAGTACACTCACTTATACTTGAGACATACTAACCTCAATATTACTTTAGAATTTAATATGCTTGGATCGAGAGGGCATTCGCACAGTCCATGATGGACAATACTAAATACTAAAACACTCTCTCTTAGTACCGTGAATAGAGTACAAAGAAATAATTCATATAACGCTTGTACTTCATACAGATAGCTGACATTGAACTATCTGTCTAATTCACCAGGATGATTGTGGTTGAATAACTTTAGTAGCGGAAATAAGCTCTACTTAGTGTTTAGGAATAATTCTTAGTGCCAATAAATTTGTCGTTACGTAGTACGTGTAGCTTTATTTCGACAGTGGCTGTCCTAATTGTTTCCAATAGAAACACTCCTGTACGTTCCTCCTAGTTTCGGGTCCCGACCAAATCAAAAGGGCAAAATTCTAGGAGAAAACGTCTCTTTATTATTATAAAATGGAAATACAGAGTCTTACGGTATTTGTGTTTCTTCCAGGATTAAATTACTCCGCAGAGTATCCAGCACAATAGCTAGTAAGTGACACTAAGTCCAGCAGCCACCGCGTCCATCCAAAAAATGTGGCGGTAGCCATATTATATCAGATTTAAACAATATATGTACAGTTCAGAAGCAAACACAAAAACTTCAATATAAGTACAAAATATAGAAAGAATAACAATATACAATGGTAAAAATCTCAAATTGGAATCAGATAAAATACCAAAAATGTCAAGAGAAAAAGTCCATCAGGTCATAGCAAAAATATGTAAACATGGAGGGATTTTCCAAAAACACAAAACATTCAAAAATAATTCTACAGTAAGGTCAAGTCTTTCAGTATCTACTCTTGTGTAGCATGCATTCATTGGGGTGCTTTTTCTCCAGCAGTTCATCCTTAAACTGTCCCAAAGCCTACTCTGTAGTCTGTTTGAGTAATAATGCACAATAATGCCACTATCACCAGTACGTATACTGTAAATAATAGGACGACTTGTGAAGATCTTAACTCAGAGGTTACTAATAAGTTGTAAGCTCTGGTATCTAACAAATGTTATGAGGATTCTCAGAACTTCAGTATCTGTTAACCGTAGAGAGTAGTGGGTGGCGGTCGGGGATACAATCTCAACAGCATGGCTCCGCAAATGCCAAAAAGCCAAAGACTAAATCATTAGACAGTCTATTTAGTTTTGCTTAGTTTTCCTGTGTTGAATGGTACTTAACTAAAGGTAGGGAAAATTTTTATAGATGCTCGACTCGAAGGACTGTTAACACGTCTATAAACAAATTAGTTTCGGATCCCAAGGGCTATCATAAATTTTTTATCAGAAATAAGAAGGAGAATAGTCCAGATGAAATAGGTGTGTTTGCTGGTGATTTCGTGATATCGAAGAAAAACCGAAATGTGCTAACGAATACGAGAAGGTATATAGCCGTCAAAACTAGATGGTGGCCTAAAGGAGGAGAAGCGTTTGGCTGTAATGTAATTTCAGTTTATATATAAGAAGTACAGAGCTGAAAAAAAATAATGAATAAACAAGTGTTCCGTAAAACGTTTACTGGTGCGGTTGGTTATAAGAATAAACGTTGCTTTTTAACCAATCGTGTTTTTATCGTTAAAAGCGAGATCACTACACTTTCACGAAGAACAGTGGAAAAATACTTTACAGCTCTTGAAGCAGGTACCAATTTAGGAACACTGTGAATCCTGTGTGGGGGCCAGTTTGTAGCAGAAGGTAAATTCTCTCCGTTAAGGATAACTGTAGGTTCAACACAAGTTAATTTAGAAGTCTGATTGATATTTCAGGGACTATCGGTTATACAGTGCTCTACAAGTTAAGCGCTGCTGTTAAAATCGTTATCATTTCCGTCATATTTTTTATTTATATACCTTAGCCTTCTCACACTCTGGACTACCAATTAATTATTAGATTCATTCACGTATTTAGTTTTATTTGTAACCATGAATCGATCAATGTTAGACCACCATTAGGAACCTGGTCTAACATTGATCGATTCATGGTTACAAATAAAACTTAACAATCTTCACAACAACCCCGCAACACGTATTTAGTTTTCGAAACAGTCGACTTCTCTCAGCATTCAAAATTTCTATCTGTTATATTCTGCAGAGATAACAGCCACTCTCATTCTGCACTATGTTAGATGTCGACGTGCAGAAGCTTTACTGGCCTGTGACAAACGCACTCACCAGAATTACAAGACACTAATCCATAAATAACTGCAGAAATTATTAGAATTCGCTCAATCGAGTGGCTATATAACCTCCTTTATCTGAAAAAGTACTAAAAAAAAAAGAAATGAGCTCTGAACAACCAAGTGATTTTTACTACATCGTGATGAAGAGATTGTATATTGGATCCCAGAAATACTTCCGTATCTTTCGAATTTTGCGTTACAAATTGGTGTGATGGCTTTGGTAGCATATGCGAGTTCGGGAGAGGATTCTGGTGGTGGGTTTGGTGTAAAAATCATAATCTTATCCATAAGATGAAGACGAGACTGCAGTCGTAAACAATGAGAATACTACTACAAATGGTAGCATACTAAAAGACCGAGTTGAACCTGAGTTCAGAATGCGAGTCCCTAAAAGTGCTAAGCTACCAGACCTTGTCCCGAATATTCCTATTGTCAAGACAAAAGACGGAAAAGTCTTACTTTCTGTCCCTGATTTGGAGGCTGTAAGTATATATTTATTGTATAATACCATGCATCCTTTTTATTTTTATGCAGCTGGATTCCTCAGACGACAGTGACGATGAGAGCGGTCGTTCAGCCAAAAATAATAAGGTAGGTATGTTATATATTTCATCTTCAATCCAGATAATGTATAAATATGCTCGGAATGGTTTTTCAAACATAATGTCACGACCTTAGGCTTAAATACTAATCAGTTAACTATCCCATCGGGTTTAGCTAATGTAGCGTCTAGGATATTAGATCCAATGAAATTTCGACGTTTGATTAGAGCTCATGAAGAGCGAACTCGAGAAAGAGTGGTTTCAGACCTGGACATAAATGTACAGACCATATATTCACACTTCGACAGGTCCTGGAACACACGTTCCAGCGTCCGACAATAGTCTTATTCTAAAACCTTAAGCCGGGGTTCAGCTCTGTCAGTCGTGAGGTGCTGTGGCAGTGTCTGTCATCAAAATCTGTTCCAAAGTAGTACATTAGCTTTATACTAGCTCTTTACTCAAACATCACTGGTCGAGTGAGAGCTTATGGCGAACTATCATCGGGACTGATTACTTCAAGTGGTGTCCGTCAGGGATGTCTGTTCTCTCCATTCCTGTTTAACTTGGTCATAGACATTCTTTTAGAAATAATACTATGTTCGTCTGAATTTTTACTAGGAGATTCACTTATTGACTTAGAATATGCCGATGACTTAGTTCTCTTTGGTGAAGATTCTGACAAAATGCAGTCTCCTGACAACCCTGAGCAACAACGCAAACACGTTCGGGATGCGATTCTCCCCCTCGACCAGTCTAACTTAACGAGTGTGAAGCATCGCCAGTAAGAATGGAAGATATTCGTAGGCCACTATTATTCGCTCATAGTTGTCTCCGATGTATTGCTCATATATCCTGGGACTGCCGAGTAAGCAGTGCTGGTATCAGAAAACGAGTACTAGGTAAGGATAGCAGATCAGTTGATGCAGTAGTGAATCTTGATAAGTTGGGGGGTAGGGTTGAGACATGTTACGCATGCCTAAGTCCTGACTGCCTCGATGAGTGGTGTTTTTTGAGGTACAGGTATTCTGGAAGAAAACTGGGGGCGGCCAAAGCGAAAGGTGACACCAATGCACGAGGTCGCTGACAGCTGAACTGACCCATGTTAATAGGTGTAGACTACCTGGTTGGGGTCCGAGATACAATAGTAACCGATGGTTAGAGACCTTGAGTGATATGGTTCAAAGTCGTTTGCAATGGTGCGGATGCACCCATTCTTTGTCTTCTCGCACCTTCTATTCTTCAGAACTTCTCATGACCTTCATCTATTTCTTCTCAAATTTATTTCACTGGATTATACTTCTGGAATAATATCTTAAGTCCCTAATCTTTTTGATTATGGATAATACTTCTACTGCCTCTACTACTATGAGATTTCAATTGATATTTCGATCTCTGTGTGCTAATGTGGTGAGGCAACTTGAGCTGATGTGTGTGCTTACGAGGTTCTACCGTGTAGCTAAATGACTGAAATCACATTAGGTATTCATAATACTTTACTATGTAAGGAAGGGTTTTTTTTAAATAGTCCTAATATTTGAGGGATTGTACATGAGGTTTTTTATGGTATTCGATATTTAAACTTAACACATTTTTAACAGAATGGTGTTCAATCTGCGGCGTAAAAAGTACAATTCCTGTCAAGGGTTTGAAAAAACATGAGATTTAAAAGACTATTCGCTGTTCATTTTACAGTGAGGACACATTTGGGAATCGCAGCAAGATCTTAACTCGGAAGAAAGGCGTGCATTATTCTACAGTCTAAATACAGTGTGTACATTTTTAGATCTCAGTACTTTATACTTTATACGGACGAGAGTGGGGACAGTCCGCTCTCAGCATGTTCTAACGTAACCACGTGTATGTAACTACTGCCAGGCTAGTCCTATTCATTGCATTCTTGTGACAATGGAGTTCACGAAATTCAGAGGACGAAAATCGGATATCCAGTGCTTTATTCACGTTGATGGGAATTGCAGATCCACCTAGGAGAGGTGGAAAACCCTGACTTCAAAGCAATGGTGCATCTAGGATCCAGGATCCTGACGGAGTGAATGGCGTATGAACCTGTTGTTGACCACCGGCTACCATGGGACTACATTTTCTAGCGTTGCCCCATTGCCTTGTGGACTAGACTTGCCAATCCAAGGTTCAAGAAGTGCCCCATTAAGAAAACGACTTGGTCTGGTCTGGGTACCCTGACAGTATTTCATCTCACTCACAAATTCAATAATTTGTGTGGCACATAAATATTTAGGTTCTCGTTTGTCTCAGTGTTAATGTTTAAATAAATAATGAATAAGCAAGTACTGTCTAGTTAGGACTACGTCACCGTCATGCTTCAAGTCTAAGTGCAATTTTGGACAGGAAATCAATCCTTAAAAAAATGGTACTTATAGTATTAAAATAAATATCCTGTTGTAGGTTTGTGTACTTCTTGAGTACTCTTAGTAACAGGCTGTATCACAAGGCTTCTCAGTATACTGAATCACATGTTGTTGTTAGATCGAATAGTATAACCAGTTAAGCATCGTTATGTGTGTACTTATCATAACGCCTTTAGAAGTGTGAAAAATTGGTTGATAAGTCGACAAACACGCTTAATATTTTCTCTCTTCTATCTCTAAAAATATATCGGTTCCTTATTCTCTGTACCTCGTTTCAAGTTAATTATCTTTTCTTCGGTGCTCACAGTTGGGTCTTATGTCAAACTGATTACTGAGTAATAAAAAGGTCTATATGAAGTCAATTAAAAATGTTACAGATAAAGAATAACTAGTTCATATAACCCTGTCTTTAATTATTTACGGAATCTTACCTAATTTTCCTCTTTTTTTTTGAAGGCATATCCGTGTTAGTTAAATACATTTGATAGACAGTAATATCAAAAATACGACAACAGACTATATCCTTGTTTACTCACTTAGTTTTTCCCAACGTAGTAAAGTTCCACCCGGCAAAAAAATCGATATCAACAAAGCTTGGACATGTTTAGTGCATCTCAAATGATTAGATTTGTAATGGTTCACAACCCTGTCAAATGGTTTGATGTTCTTTGCATGATATCAACGTTTGGTACCTAACTACTCTAATATACACGAGCCAGGTTAAGATAGCTATGATTAGATGCCTTTAGTCCACAAATGCAATACACAAGTGAAAAAATATGGGTTCAGAGCTGATCATATCATAGCTTGTTATACTTGTATCAATAAATTTAAAGTAGTTTGTTGGATTCAAGCTTAAGAGCTGTGTTTTTTTTATAGTAAATAGCTTTACATTCATGAGGAGGCGAATTATTTCATTGGTTACTTGAGCGATACACCTTGGAATCATTGATACCCATATTCACTGTCAACAAGCTACACTTGTAACTTGAAGGAGACCTATACTAGTATTTACACTCATGATATTTACAATATATTAAAATAACCCAAGCTTCCGTCAATCGTTTGTTGAAATTAAACCTTTGGTAATAACCAACTCATTAACAAAGTCATCATTAAGATGACTTAGACTAAATTTCATAGAAATTTGCTTTTTCAATTAGTTTGTTATGTGGTACTGATTTTATTGACAGTTGTGAATGTTCACATCATTTAATGATTGTATTCTCATTTACAGTCTTATCAAAATTTTAAATCTGGAACAGATAAAGTTAGCCTACTTTCTGTTCTTCCACCAACACGTGCACTTATTGTCCGAGAAGGCAACAGACCAATGATACCACATCAATTAATGTCTCGAAAAAATACAACTCAAAATGTTGGCGAGAAGCTTACTATGAAAACGAAACTTGAAAATGTTGACAAGAAATCCAACTTGTCAAATAACAACGATGAAGATGATGTTTGGGATCCGAACAGCACCAATGAACAAGACTCCGATAAAGACACTTCAGAATTAGCTGATGAAGATACTGAAGAAGCTAGTTTCTTTTCATTTTATAAACCTGCACCAAATAATCATGAAGCTGTTGCTTCAGAAAGAGCAGCTGCACTATCAGCGCTACAAGCAGCTCGAAAGAAAGCTGAATTAGCTAGTAAAGCACCTATTGCAGACAATGAAGACAATCATTCGTTGATAACAGTTCAAATGTCACATGATGAAAACTCCACTACTAATCGATTCAATACAAAATCATGGAATGAATGTCTACCAAAGATTACTATAAGTGATCCAGAAATTCTACGACAAATGTCTTCGGTTCAAAATGAAATTGCTAAACAAGATAAAGAGGATGACAATGAAGATGGCGAAGATAAAGTGTTTTGGACAGAAGAAAACTTTGTTCCAGGTCCAGAGGTATCTAAAATATATGTATATATCTCTTTAAAAATATTTTTTTCTATCCTCCAATTAATGATACTCGTAGCCTTGACTTTTTAAAGTTGTTTATATTCATCATTGCCCAAATTATTTCTTATCTAATAATAAATACGAATTTTAGGACAAATGTCAAAATTGATAGATCATCATGGTTATCTCATTTAAATCATTGAATTAAAGTACCAGTTTTGTATGGAAATGAAACCAACAAGTTTATTCAATCATAGTTTGATCTAGGAGGATTAAATTGAATCTCCCAAATCAGCTATTTGTTTGTCAGTATATATGTGTTTCGATCGGGTCTCTTATGCTTTTACGAGTATGAGGGCGGTTGTCACTTCACGGCTGCCCACACTGTGGAAAAAGCTCTGGTTGTCAGAAGGGACATCGGCCTTGTGACTTCCGAAAGAGCTCGGCTTTCATCATGAGACGTCATAAATCTTCTAAATGATGACCTTCTAACTCCAAGGGCAGAGTTTAAATGGTATGAATTATCTTTTCTTGTTAGCGTTTTTTAGAGAGTTAGTTCTCTACAGGATGGATTCGCCAACCTCAAGCCCAACCCTCCTCCTTTATTCGGGCTTGGGGCCCGCAGTAGCCCGAGAGAGGCTCCTGGCGGAGTTGTGTTTCGATCGAGTGACTAAAGTTAATCTGTAGTCAATCCTCCTTTTTTAAATTCTAAAGCTTATTGGTTTGCACAAAAAATCTATGCTTATTGTTTGTTACTTCATTACTTCTGAACATCATGCACTACGCTGAACTCCCATCCTGTCATCTTGTTTTAGCTCGGTTGAATAATATTGTCCATACACTTGTACCAGGTATTTAAGATTCACCCAAAGTAATAATACTATTATTATTATTAGTTTAAAAGGTAACATTTAAGAATGATAGTGGATTATCTGGTTCACTTACTGATTTATAATTTTTCACAAAGTCATTATGTAGCTAAATATTGTAATACTTAAGAAAGCTGCATCAGTTAAGGTAGTTGGGACACGTATTATGAATGCCCAGCCACCGACTGTCTCGTTGAGATACGTTTTATGGTGTAGGAGTAGTTTGGAAGAAAGTTAGGGGCGGCCAAACCAAACGTTGGCACAAATCCATGAAGTCACTGACAACTGGATTGAGTCATGTTGGTGGATGTTGCCTACCTGGTTGGAGTCCGCGAGGTGATATTAGTCAATAGTTAGGGAATTTGAATGACATGACTCGAAATCGTTTGCAGTGGCGCAGGCGCATCCATTCTTTGGTGTCTCTCAAATCCTAATCCTCTGGATTCTTTATTCCCTTTGAACCCTAATCTCCGATTACTGCAAATGCTTCTACAACCTATACTATAATAGGATTTGAATTTGACAATTGCGTCTCTGTGCTAATGTGTTATTGCAACTTGGACAGATGTGTATACGTACGTATGAAGTTCTACTTCGTAACTGACTGATATGGTTAAAATCTTAACAGATTCACTTGACTTTTAGCAGACTCTGGTAATGTTTTGCTGTTTATTCAAAACGCAGATAGAACATGCACAATAAATGGCTTCTTTAGTTTTGATTAAGGCTATTTACTAATGGCTATGAATGTTAACATTTATCCAACCTATTTGGTTGTAGTAAAACGATTGACTGATATATATTCTCCTTCTATACTTCGGTTATCTTGTGTAAAATATCGCCAAATTTATCAATAACTGCTTGAAAGTGATCTTTTTTCAAGTTATTAGTTTTTCAAATCAAATGGCGATGTATTTTTATTACCACGTAGTTCGCATCAGTCATTAATATGTTAAGGTCATTTAAGTACATATATCTGAACTTTCTATACTTGCTGGGGTAAGTTGTGTATCTAAAAAAATAACGTATGAAGAACAAAGTCAATCTTGATTTTGTAGGTCGATTGTAGGTGATTTTTGTTCAGTCCAATTCAACAACGTATTGTCATCAATTCTATCCATTAACTATCAGTTTATATTCGTTATAATTCGTTATTTGATTGTCAATACATTTTCCTTGTTCGCTCACTATGATTTTATGTTTATTGAAAACTATTCAATGAATCAAACTATTTAATTAACAATCACTGAATAGATATGTAATCGAATTAACTTGGATGCAAGTTAAATCTTCTTTGGTCTCATCGAATAAGTCTTTTTAACCAACGTCAGTTGTTTGGAGTAGCTGGGGTGGGAAACCTAATGCAAATAGAGCTATTGTAGTCGTGTTTGGCGTTTTCGCCACATATTTTGTATCCATAACGGTGTGCAGGAGATTTTTTTTAAAGAAAGGATATTTAGTGAAATTGTAAGCTTTTGTCATTTGTGTTATGTGGAGCACATAACCTTACCTATGACTAGTGTTAATTGCAGTGGGAACATTTTAGAGAAGTAGGTTTTAAAGTTATAGGATTAAAATACAACTTCTGAATTAAATTTATGTGGAAAAAGTTGCAAACCGGTTGACTGGAAGTCAATTATTAACCTTTCAAAACTTGTAGGGATTTCATTCTAAATAGATTCCCTTCGGCTGAAATACACCAACTTGTTGTTTTCTGAGCGTATATAATTTATTTTACGTTTTCAGTTTCTAATTCTTTTACTCACCTTCCTTCCGTTATTTTATTCTCATCTGATTGATGTGAAGTGTGAGACAACTATGGTACTGAACTCCCACTGTTTAGTATACGGGGGAAATATTTATGCTTGTTGTGTATGCTACTGTGTATTTTATAAGTAGGTTCAGACGAATGGTATCAAAAATTGTACCGTTCAGTTTCTGTGGTTGTCTATCACCTTGAAATGGTCTGTTACATTAGTTGTATAAAAGTTTAAAATCGTGGGATATAAAATCGCTTAGTGCATAAGAAATAACGCTTAAAACATTCTGGATTCACCGAGTAGGTCACACGTTCAAGCCCCACTCCTGCTGCTTGTGTTTGCTCATTCTAGTAGGGTCACTAGTTGTCACAGAATCAACGAATCAAATCCGAATATAAACCTTGTAATTAGCGAAAAATTCATTCAGTGAATTAAATGGAATGAGTAGGTTCTCATAGTAGATGGATTGGTGACTGAACACATTGGGGATTTAGAGTAAAATTTGGGACTGCTGATGTTTATCGTAAAAATTCAGGGCAGCGATTCATGTGGATATACTCCTTAAAATTTAGTGTTCCTATGTAGCTTATAACTCATTATTTAATTATATTTAAAACATAGTTATGTTATATAGTACAACAGTACCGTACGTCTGCCGGACAACCGTCGATATTTATGTTGAAAATTATACAGTAATTAAAATATACAGAAAGCAAGATCTGGATATTTTAATTTTTAGTAGTTCACACGATTGCATTGTTAATGTTTTGACCTAAATTTGATTAGTTTCAGTTCGTATATGTGTATTCTGTGCAGATTGCCTTGACATATGCATTATGTCGAGTGTGGATAGAGGTAGAATACAAGAACGAGTGGGCGTTCAGAGCGAAAAGTTACGGAGTTTGAGTCTCGGAGTGAACACTAACTCTGGGAAGCAGGTACATCTTGATTATGTGTCCCAAATAGTTTGAAACGCACTTCCTAAACTCCATTGCTGGGTGTATTTCACCTACTCTGTATAAAAACCAGTTTTCTCCTAACATTTTCACTGTTATATAACATCGTGTTATAATTCTCTTATTACAACACAGCTATTCCTAGTGCTTAGTATTCTCGGAAACCGATTCACTCGAGACATTCCCCCAAATCAGAACACTGTTGAGCAAGGAAAAGAGACTATATAGATTCCAATAACAAGGTTAGATGGAAGTTAGAGAAGTCTAAAACGTTAGTATATTTATAGTTTCCTTACATAAGAAGATTCTAGAATGTTCCCCCAGTATTGACTAGCGCTGATTGGATACGAAAAAGCCAATCAGCGTGCAACAACGCAGTCGTGTATGGAACATGCCTCAATCCAATCTACGTCCCGCTAACACATACATAAACACATTTAACAAAGTTTTATGACGTGTGTATTTTCTAATTCAAAGTATTTGCTTTGTAACTGGAATAGCGGTGTAGTATTTTGGTTGGTTATTAAGCAAAAACAGACATGTTATTGTCTACTTCATTATGGTACTCAACTGTCGGTCAAACCTTGTGTATTCGAGTTCATATAATGTATTATCTAATGATCAAGTTTTATTGCTTCTACTGGTTTTATTATATTGTATCTATATCGAGTGTCACTAAACACCCGACTGTAGCCGCTACCCTGACGTGTTGGTCGGGCTAGCCGATCGTAATGACCCAACCTAGCTATATTAGCTGAAACATATGTTCCTGGAGGTTTTAGCATGCCGGGCAGGCCAACTGGAGGACGATGAGACTAAAAGCAGCTACTCAAGGTGTGAGGGCGAAGTCCTACTGCTGACTGACTGACTGTAGAGGGGTGTGACAGCAGTAAGGTGTTTCCCTCAGACAACCATCATCACGAGGAAGGAAGAGGTTAGAAAAAATCAACCCTGAAAATGTCACCCTTCACCTTACCTCACAGATTTCCATCTATAACGGTAAGGCCTTTTAAAACTAGCGGAGCTAACACTTTGAAAGCACTAAAAGGCCGTGTGTGATCGGCCTCAAACAGTTGTCCCTTAGGCTCTGTAGTAACGCTCCCAGGTCCTTGAGACCAACGCTAATCTACCTTCCTTTTCAGGTTCCTCAGGAAACACCCTTCCACGGTGTGGGCAGCCGTAAAGTGACATCCGCCATCATACCCGTAACAAATTGGTCACGTAACATTTTTAATATAATATCAAAATAACCATTTCATATAATCAGAGAATTATTAACCCTAAAAACCTCTCTTTCTATGAAGATCATGTTTATCTCGGTTAGTCAATCAGAAAAAACGTTGAACTTTATACGTACGCACATTAGTTCAAGTTACCATATCACAACACAGAAAGATCAAATTTTCAATTTAAATCCCATAATAGTATAGCTTGTACCAGTGTTGGGGTTAATAGAAGTGATTAGCGACCGAAAAAGATTATTCAAGCAGTATAATGTGGTGAAATAAACATCATACGGAGTTCAGAAGATTATAATGCTAGAGAAGTCAAAAAATGAATGCATCTGCACCATTGCAAATAATTTTACGTACAATACATTTTTTAAGAAACCTAATCGTTTCTTCTCATTTCCGATTTTTGAATATGTAATATTGGACACGTAACAGGGAAGATATATTTGTTAGAATAAATCAAATTAATATCAAAATGTCAATTGTTGTTGTTATAAACCTCTCTTAGTAAACCCAGCTGATTTCTATAGCTTAGTACTCTCTGACATCGATCCACTCGACAAGTCACCAAATCAGAGCACGGTTGAACAAGAAGAAAAAATTATATTCCAAATAGCAAGGTTAAATGGAAGTAAGAAGTAGAAATAACGTCAATGTCTTTATAGTTTTCATATGAGAAACTTCTAGAATGCGCTTCAAGTATCGACCAGCGCTGATTGGATAGAAAATTAGCCAATCAGCGCGTAGCTAACACAGTCATGCTTTAATCCATCTATGTCCCACTAACAGTTGTTTACACATAGTTTTCACTATGTTTTCATCATTGGTTTCACTTTCCAAGCTTTCTATGTCTATTCAACAATACCCAATACGTAATTTCTATTTAGATGCTATTTAATTCTAATTAATAATTGGAATTGTTGATGTTTTTATTTATATTTATTATTATTATTAAGTCATTTTGATCAGTTTCCCATTTTTTTTTACCTTTTAGCGTAAACGTGCACGTCTCGTCATGCCTGGTACAAAATCCAATAATATCGCTTTGAATGATTTGTTACAATCAACTAAAACAGAAGTGATATCAATAAATCAATCTGATTTAACTGCTGGTGCTCAATTAGAACTGATCAAGTCGGTCACAAGTGATGATTCACAATATAGACCAAAGTCTACCGATGATGATCCTGGTAAATTGGCGCATAGAAAGCATCAAATCACTTGGCTAGCTCATCAGGTATTGTTTTTGTTTTAAACTTTTTTGGGTTCGTATGTTTCTAAGTGAAAGTGTTGATTTTTAGTTTGATAGTTATGTGATTTGTTTGTACGCACAAAATGTAAAATGGCTGAAGGCTATCGTGCTAATTAACACTTGCCAACAAAAAATATCTTAAAGGAACAGTGCTTCCTGTAAAATTTCAAATCTACGTCACTTAGTGGCAATTAAAAACGTTACTAAATAATTTTTTGGGTCACGACTAGATTCCTATAGGAATGAAATATATACATTGGTTGATTACTGGTTAGCAGCTAACATTGTTTTGCCAAACCTTCAAACTGATCAATGACTTGCCCAGATATGTAAAGGATTTTACGTCCTCCAAGGCATTTCCATCAAGATTGATTTGGTTGGCGCATGTTGTGCTGTATCGGTGAATCTTGCTTTTCTCTTAATTTATGTTGAGACCTGCTGCTGCTACACTGGTCGTCTTCTCTTGGATTTGCTTTTGCGTGTGAGATAGAATAGCCAGATCATCTGCGAAGTCCAAATCCTCCAGCTGTATCCTAGCTGTCTATGGGATACCAGCTGCATCATCCTCAGGTGTACGAAGTCATTTGTGTGCACTTGGATAAATACAGCAAAAATTATTTATATATAATGACCTACTATAAAAGCCTACATATATTACTAGACGTACTTTAAAGCTAAAAGAAATGTTACACCTTCAAAAGTTCATTGTTTTTTCACAATACTATTTTAAGATTTCCTTTTCTCACACTCGACGAGCGATATTTTGTAGTGTCGGAGTAAGTTGGATGAAAGTTATAGGCGGCCAAGCCGAACCATGGCACAAATCCATGAAGTTACTGACAAGTGCACTGAGTCATGTTGGTAAGTGTAGACTATCTGATTGGGGTCCGCGAGATGATAGACCTTGAATAATATCTTCAAACCCTAATCTTCTCCATTACCAAAAATACTTGTCCTATCTTTACTACTATGAGATTTGAATCAACAATTGCATCTCTGTGCGCTACTCTGATATGGCAGCATGAACTTATGTACTTGCGAAGTTCTACCTTGTAACTGACTGACTAACTCTCTCATTCTCTGTAATAATTCCCTTTTTTTTGTTTTACATCAACATTAGGCTCAAGAGAATGAAATGGAATTAGAGAAACGTTGGGCTGAAGCAAGACGTAATAAAGCGTCAAATCGAGCTAAATATGGATTTTGAGCTTTTGAGATTATTTTTTTTTCTATTGTCAAAAAATGTCAAATTGCGCACAATCTCACACACACGGAAATGTCAATATTTCACTGTAAGAATATGTAAATAGTACTTGTAACATATTGTCTTGGTTTATTTAATTTCTTATTTTTAGAGTATATTCAAATTTCTTTTGTATGTATTTTGATTGACCTACTTACTGTAAAATATAATATTTTACTGTAAATTTAAACTGTTCATTGATTTATTTTCTGCTTTCTAAAACAAAGTGTATTTTGTCAGTTGATGAAACATTGTTTCACTGTATATAATCAAACTATCAAGCTATTTTGACGATACGCATGTAATCTCTTGACATGAAGTCTCATACATATGTATCGGTTCAATTGCTCTGTTTAAGTTTGACAAGGAATACATGCGATTATTATCTGCTCATTATATATGCAAAAATCTTGAAGAATATGGCTGAAAATAACTCCAACATTTTGTTTCATAGTTTGATTCTTGAAAAAGCTTCGACTAGACGGTAGTTTGGAATCTTTGAACGAAATTATTCACAACTCTAACTGGGATACAACGAACAAGGTCGCTTCCATCTTCTTATTTTTCTTTTTTAGTCTACCTGTTAACTCAGTCAGTCAGTCAGATGCAACGTAGAACTTCGTACGTAAGTACATCAGTTCATGTTGCCATACCACATCAGCACAGAGATATAATTGTCAATTCAAATCCAATAGTAGAAGAGGTAGTAAAGGTATTAGAAGTAATCGTAGACGTTAGAATTAGAAGATATTATTCACGAAGTATGATTCAATGAGATAAGTTTAGAAAGTAAAAGCTAGAGGTGTTGAAGAACCCAGAAGATTAGGATTTGAGAGAACACAAAGAATAAATGCACTGGCGCCATTGCGAACGATTTTGAGCCATGTCATTCAAGGTCTCTAGCCGTCGATGATTATCATCTCGCGGACCCCAACCAGGTAGTCGACAATTACCAACATGGCTAAGTCCACTCGTCAATGACTTCATGGATTTATGCCATGTTTTGGTCTGGCCGCCCCTAGCTTTCTTCCAACCTACTCCTACACTACAAAACAAAGTTCGTCGAGGCAGTCGGTGGTTCGGCATACGCAAGACATGTCCCAACCACCTCAACTGATGAAGTTTCACCACTTCATCGATTGATCTGCCATCCTTGCCTAGCACCCGTTTCCTAACGACAGCATTGCTTACTCGGTTGTCCCACGATATACGAGCAATGCCTCGAAGACACCTATGATCGAAAACCAGTAACCTACGAATATCTTCTACTCTCACTGGCCATGTTTCACAGCCATATAGGAGAACGGAGCGAACTGCTGCACAGTACACTCGTCCTTTGATTAGAGAACGGATATCACGCCTACGCCATAAGTGACGCAGGTTGGCAAAAGCCAATCGAGCCTTCTGTATCCGAGCTGAGAACAGGAACGACGTTTCGTGATCTCACTTCGTCTGCATTAGCGGTGCAGTGGGAAAAGGGAGTGTGAGTAGAGTTAGTCGTAGAGATAAGAGGGACATTAGGGGGTGTAGAAAGGATTTGATTTTGACCAATTTGGTCTGCGTGTTGTTACGGGTATGAGAGCGGTTGTCACTTCCCGGCTGACCACACCGTGGAAGGTTGTTTCTTGAGGGACCTGAAAAGGAAGATGGATTAGTGTTGGTGCGTGACCGCAGAGCCCAAGGGACAACTGCTTGAGGCCGGTCACGCACGGCCTTTTTATGAAACGTTGTTTGAGGATTAGCTCCGTTCTTAAAGGCCCTTAGTGGGCACCCTTACCCAAGGAGACGGAAATCCGTGAGTTAGGGGAGGTGTGACATTTTTAGGGCCGACCTTTTCTAACCCTTCCTTCCTTGTGAGAAGGCAGCATCGCTGCAGATGCTGGTTGTCCGAGGGAAACACCTTACTGCTGTCACGCCCCTCTGCAGTCAGCAGTACGACTTCGCCCTCAGACCTCGGGTAGCTGCTTTTAGTCTCATCGTTCTCCAATCGACCTGTCTGGCATGGTAGAACCTTGAGGAACATATGTTCCAGCCAGTATAGCTCAGTTGGGTCATCACGATAGGCAAGCCCGACCACCACGTCAAGGTAGCAGCAGCACTAGAAATAAGAAGTGGAAATATCTGTTCAGTAGAGGAGCGACATCAGAAGAACTAAATTCTAATCAATGAAGTTCATTTATGCATCGACCACATTGGGATTATTAATTACAAGATCGAATGAATTTGACTCACTGGACAAATAAACACAAAACCTCAGTGTGAATTTAATACAAGGAGAAATGCATTAAAAATCAATTAACCAACTGTCTAAAAACAACAGAAAATCCATTGAGCTTCAGTAAGACCAGTATTTAATGTAAATAAATTAATTAGTTACTACAACCAAAGTATTGAAACTTCATCAGTTGAGGTGGTTGGGACATGTGTTACGTATGTCTAACTACCGACTGCCTCGTTGAGCTTTGTTTCACGATGTAGGAATATCTTGGACAAAAGCTAGGGGTGGCCAAATCAAAACATGAAGTCACTGACAATTGGACTGAGTCATGTCCGTAGGTGTCGACTATTTGGTTGGGGTCCGCGAGATGATAATAATCGATGGTAAGAGACCCTGAATGACATGGCTCAAAACCGTTTGCAATGGCGCAGGTGCATTCATTCTTTGTGTTATCTCACATCCTAACCTTCGGAATTCCTCATCTTTCTCTTTCTAAATTTACCTCACTGAATTATACTTCTTGAATAACATCTTCGAACCCTAATCTCTCCAATAACTACTAATACTTTTACTACTTCTACTACTATGGGATTTGAATCGACAATTGCGTCTCTGTGCTAATGTGGTATGACAACTTGAACTGATGTACTTACGTGCAAAGTTCTACGTTGCTGTTGATGATGAACAAAAATCCACTGTTTACGGCTTCAAACCAGAATTTAATCTACGTAATGATAGTTGGCGAATTCTTCTTATATGTTCTTCCTTTTATGAATCCAGGTGTACAAGATTTTATTTTCAGTAACTTCAAATACTGAAGTGTATACATATTCACAGACAAATACAGGTACAGTATCCTGATTATACGACTGCTAGTAGAATACGTTTCCTTTGTGTTTTTTTTTTGTTAATAAACGCGGTAAATTAGCATCTTCTTGAGAAAAAACAGCAAGTGTATGCGCAAACATGTGTATATTCTGCGCCACTAAAATCAATTATTTTTGTCGGTAGATTAAATCTGACAAATAGTCACAACCTATAACTGATTAATATGATTGGAGTAGTGAATACTCAATGCTATGCTTGTTTAGTCTTTTAGTTCGACCGACCAGATTCCATTAATCAGGTTGTAATGAGGCCACTGGTCTAATTGACTCAACACAATGCGTTGATATGTTAAATGATTCAATGTAGTTTGTAGGAAACCATAACTAACCTAATCTTCATACTAGTTAGTACTTCGTAGCAAGGTATTCTGTAATTTTCAAAAGATCAGTAGTTTCTATATGATTCGAATTTGTTTCAACCAGATAGACGTTACCACTGAACATGACTAGGTTATGGGAATTTACCGTTGACTGTCTTCAATCATCCAACGAATGATCAGTTTTCCTGATGTCATTTTAAGCCAAGGCTCATCGTGTTTAATTCTGACAAATTACAACAATTTTTATGTGTTACAATTAGTTAGAATTTGTTGAGATTGTAAGAAGTCAACTACCAATTAGTAATTTCAATGCAATCTACCGATCAATCAGAATTAGACAAGATTTGTCATTTTCTTCATCTTGGTAAACTATAATGAATGGCTGTATTTACTGCAATATATGATGTTTCGATATGATACACATTATGATGCATTATAATCTTAATCCCTTCACTAATCCTTCTGTACTGCATAGAGGTTGCAAGTTTATTGTTTCCATAAACTAATTACATTACAATTCCTTACACTGTTTTGGTTTCTAATTTTTGCAAGCTTAAGCAGAGAATGAAAAGTCAAAAATAACTTACTTTATCAAACGTATATGCTTCATTACGTTCGTGTAGCGCTTATTGAAAAAAACTCAATTATGCGAATGTCCATTCTACTTTAATTATTGGCAGAGGATATTTTACTGAAGAGAACCAATTATACATGATAAGCTTTAGCAAATCTATTCAAATTATAAATGAATACATGTTTTAACGCACAAATAATAAAGAAGAATTAAGCCTGAAAGCTTCTATTCACATTGCTTACTTCCAAATTACTATGAATAATATCAAGCTTTCAACAACTACAACGACAGTTCATTCTAGACATATCCAGTAACGCACACCTGAATATGGTGGATAAAAAGTACTAATACAGAAAAACTTACATCTCTAAATCATTCTGTGGCGGAAATTATGCTAGAATACCCAAAAATTGTTCACTAAACGATAGTTATTCTTGTGCATGATACACATTTTCATTATGATGAAGTTGATAGTATCTCGCATTTTATAATTTTTGAAATATGTCCACACTACTTATTAAATATGAGTAGCTAAAGTTAACTGTGAATATTTTATGATGTCGAGCTTAAAATATTCAGTCATCTTTCCGTTCCTTCGAAAATTATTATTACTAATTACAATGCAATTTTCGTCCAATATTTCTTTTCATGTCAAAACTTTTACTACGTTTTTTCTCTCTTTACCTGACTTATATAACTGCGACACACGATATATCCATTAACACACACAGGTACATTGTTATTAAAACATTGAAGGACTTGTAATCTGTTGACTTCTAGATCGTTTAGTTAGATCATATCGTTAATAATCTCAATTTTCTAAATACCTTCGTCAGTACACTTGATCGATAACAATCATTGGTTTATCAATGACTTCGGTGCGGTTGTATTAAGTATTCGAAGCTTCCGCTCAAACTAATCACTTTATTATGCGTGTATATTGTGTCATAAGAAGGTCAATAAATTCAGAGTGTATTAAAGTCATGTTCATAAAAACTTGGAGTGGTGTTGCAGTTGTTTAAAAGTAAAAAAAAATTTAGTGAACAACCTTAATATTGTCAGATTACTTACTACTCAATTATTTAATTGGGAATTTTAGATCTATTGAAGAGAATTTTTCTCATCAAAAGCCGTATATATACTGTCTTTGATTTAATGATCACAGAAATATTAAGAATAATCAAATAATTTGGGAAAACCTTCAGGTTGAAGTTTTCATGTTCTATCGAGTGTGTTGTAAT